GGGCGCCGGGGCACAGTTAGGCCCTGGGGCTCTCGCAGAAGCCCCAGGCCCTGCTTTTGGCACACTGGGGTGCAGCTGCTGCTGGGGCACGCCCCGGAGAGGCCCGGGAACGCTGCTGAGGGGATGGAGGCCCGTGAAGGCGCTGCAGGGTGGGAGCCCCTGGCACCCGGTGTCTGGCCCAGGGGACAGACAGAGCTGCCCGGGGGCTTGGGGCATCTGCCGCGGGCTGTGCCGGTGGTGGCCGCAGGTACCAGCGTCAGCTGGTGGTTGTGGAACCTCCGTCCCTGGAGGCGGTCAGGGACTGACTGGCCGTGGTTGGAGTAACCTGCTTGTGTTCGCCCCAGAGGGTTGGACTAGGCCTGGCACCCGGTGTCTGGCCCAGGGGACAGACAGAGCTGCCCGGGGGCTTGGGGCATCTGCCGCGGGCTGTGCCGGTGGTGGCCGCAGGTACCAGCGTCAGCTGGTGGTTGTGGAACCTCCGTCCCTGGAGGCGGTCAGGGACTGACTGGCCGTGGTTGGAGTAACCTGCTTGTGTTCGCCCCAGAGGGTTGGACTAGGCAGCTTCCCTTCCAGCCTAAATTCTCTAGCTCTGTGGCATACAGTGAATGATGAGTAAGAACTTGAAGATCATTCTTCCATGACTTGAAGGTTGCTTTTTGTAGGATTCTTTAAAGGTTATGAGTCTGCTACAGCAGTGTGTTGTAAGGGAGATCTGAGAGTTTCCAGGTGCTAAATGCCATCCTTGAAATGTTTCTATGGGATAGCCGTGTTTGAAACTCTGTTTGGTTACTTTGCCAGAGGAAGGAAAACCAGTGATTGGAAAACCAGCATTTTAACACTGCCACTGATGAAATATTGCACGTCATTTTTAAGAACCACTTGTACTGATATTACTGTTACGAATATGGAGGTTAAATGCTTGTCTCTGTGTATTTGTGACAGGACTTCCCACAAACAGAGGCATTATTTCAAATACTAAGCCCAAAATGGCATGTAACATCTAACTATAAATACAGTAGCAGAGGAGGCGCATCAAGGTTACGCCTTCTCTGAACACAGCCATCCCCCACGAATAGTCAGGCACAGGACATACATGTTAATGGTATCATAACTGCTAGTTCTACAACGTTACTTTGCTACAAAGTGCTGCTTTCTTGAACATGTTGAAAAGAATTTCATAGGAAGCATTTTTTTTCTGATAAATTACTTTTATTTTTCAAAATTGTTTCAGTTTAAAGTCACTTTTTCATATTTTAACAAGCCATAACAATGACATTGTATTTTTAAATTAAATAATTTTCTAAATAATAGTTTCAGAAGGCAAGTATTTAGTACTCAATTTATAATTTATCTTTTGTTCACTTAAACCCACCTTTTAACAGTAAAGTAAGTGAAACTTGGCAATGCAGGGAGAAATGCAAAGGTACATTATAACACTTATACAAAATCAGTTTGATTGTTGGATATGTAAACACTGACTATTAAAAGAAACAATGTTCTTGATACGATGCAGAGAAAAATACAATTCTAATAATTCTCTAAAAAGACACAATAAAATTATTTGGACAAGATACTGTGCAAGTTATGCAAAACCTATTATGGTAATTAATGCAAGTATGTTATTTATGGTACTCCCACAATGTATGTATAAACCAGAAATCTATAATCACATACTGGAAAGATCAACAGGGGTTTTTTTAAAGGGTAAAGCATCTTCAATCTTCATTCACATTTGGACTTGGAAACAGTGCTTCCTTGGCATTAAAATACCAAATATATTCTTTAAATACGTGCATACATAAACTTCTACAAATACAGTACTGAGACCAGACCACACTGCTCATCATATAAAAATAACTCCATATACGGTCACGCACAGAGAGGAAAAATGATTGTAAATTGCTGTCGGGGCAAAACCACAATGCCCTCCTGAAGCTACTGGGAGCAGCTTTTTCAGCACTTCCCAAGGACTGGATTTCAAATAATTTCACATCACAGTCACATTATAATGAATAAGACAGGGGAGAAAAAAAGGGTTTTTCAGGAATAAAAAGTGGTTTTGTGTTGGAAGGGATGAATCAATCACTCAAAGAACAGAGCTTCATTCTGAACCCACATTATTGTATGTTGGCAAATGCCACTGGTATCAGTGAACTTGTTTTGCATTCCTACTACTGTGAAATGAGAACCTTTTTAGCATCTGCTCTTGTCTTTTATACTATGAAAACATAATTTGCAATGATCTGGAACACAGCCTAACTCCTCAAGTATCTGGTGTCTTCCAACCTCATTAGGTAAGCAGCTGTAGACCTCAGTTATCATGGTTCAAGTTAAGATGGAGACAAAACATGATTTACCACCATGTAGACTGACAATTTAGAATTAGACTTTGTCACTCTTAGTCAGACTGAAGAGGACTGTGCTCTCTATATAGTCTCACTGAGGCCAGTGGTTCCACTTCTTGATTAAGGTTATTACTCACTGTGAGCAAAGATAGAAAAAATGGCCCTTACTGGTAACTGCACCCTAAGCTGAGTTGTACCGAATTTAATTTTACTGATGGGAGCAAGACATGCTTATATAAACAGGACTTCGCTCAAATATGACTCTAAAGAACAGTGTGCAAGGTATGTGAATATGAGAGAAATGTAGGAAAGGGAACTGTAATATTCATACAAAAAGTAAATTTAGTGATCATCTGCTAAGATATTCACATTCGTACGGTTGCGTAGCAGCTGTGGTAAAGGGTCAGAAACATTGTGGCTAAAGAGCTTGCCTGCTTTGACAAAACTATTAGCTCTATCAAGTCACATTTCACACATGATGTAGTAAAAGAAATCAGTATTTAAAATACCACATTGCAAATTCCAGTTCAGTAAAATGTATTAGTAGCATGAGGTCATGTTTTCTCTCTAGACAATAGACATTTAGTTTATTTTTAAATTATACTGACTACTGCTTGTTTGCAACATGTAGATGGCAACAACTTAGCAATTAATAGCATTTCTGTCCGATTCTTGACTGTCGTTGACCATCAGAGGGGTTTTAGACTGTTCTGTTTTCCCTTTGCTCTCCTCATCTTCTAAATCTTTTGATACTGCAGGGTTTTCCTCAGAACTCTCATGCACAGAAACCCTAGATGCTTCAGTTGCATTTCCTCTGACTGTAACGTGCTCCCATCCACCCTGTAAAAGATTGATAAAGACAAATAAAAGGAGAAGCTTCACCCTGCAAGTACAATATCTGATGTGATGCTTCATGTACGCTACTAGTTTTATTTATACTATTTTTTCATGAGGAAAGTAGTCCCGCTCTGGGCTGAATCAAAAAAAAAAGGCTCCTTGTAAAAAAAAACCACAACAAAAACCAATCGTAAAACCACAATACAGATCCCTGACAGGGAGGTATGTAGGTGGTACGCTTAAGCATTGCTTTTTATTATAGGTCATTGAGATTAGTAGGGTCAGGCGTTCTAACAGAGACAGTGCAGGTTTCCCACCAACTTAAAGGGGGCCAAAACCTTAAAATAGCCTTTTCTCAAAATATTGAGAATAATACAGGGAACAACGATGAGGAACAATCACATGCAGACTTGGAAGGAATTAATTTTTAAAAAATGGTATTTTACTAATTTTTCCATTATAACCTATTTAAAATGAATACTTATCAAATGCAAATAACTTCCTAACTATAACTGCATAACCCATTATATTAACTTAAAAACAGAACCTAAACTGAAGGAGCATCCAGCTGGAGCTGGATGCCACTTTCTAAGCTGCCCATGGATATTTGGATATACAGCTTCTAGACAGTATTATGGCCCCAGCACTTACCCCAATTCCATAATCCCATGAGAGGCCTTTAGGTTCCATTGGCTGAACACCAGTCCGATGGCAGACAGTCCCACAGCTCAAACTATGACTTCCTTGCACTTTGTCAGCTATCACCCAGACCTCAAGAAAGCAGAGAGGCAATAAAACGTGCTCTTCATGCTGCTGCTCTTCCCAGATATGAAAACTGTAAGTCCATCTCACCACTTTCAGAAATGAGTCTTCATCTCAAATAGGCCAAACAACTACATACTGGTGTTATAATTAAAACATTGCCAGATAGTAAGAGTTGGAGGGAAAGA